GACGCTGGGCGCTTCCTGCAACTTGCCTTGGGGATTGCAGGTGCTGCTGCAGGCCTGCGCATCACTCCGCTCGGTTGCGGCACCGGTTTGGCCACAGGTTTCGGGCAAGACTTTGCCTTGCCCTTGCCCTTGGCCTTGGCCTTCGGTTTGGTCACTACTTTTGGAGTCGGTTCCGGTGGCAAAACCTCCGCCTCGGCAGCTGCTGCTGTAGCAGGCGGTGTACTGCCAGGCTTTGCAGGCGGCTCTTCATCCGACAGCTGATTCACATTGGCGATGGGCATGGCTGTGTCAAAGTAAAAAACGATCTTTCAGATCCTGAACTTTGAGCTCCCTCAACTAACAAACACCGTCAATTTCATGTCTAAACCAAGTACTCATCCACTCGAAGACCTCCAATAGCTATGTAACTCTGAGCAGCGACTGCTCCCACATGAGTTTTCACCAGGAAATGGACGAAGTCTCAGCGCAAAGCTGATCTGGTTTGGTCTCTCAACCGTTGCTGGACGCCTCCGAAATTCAATCAACACGTCAGCCTGAATTTCAATGCTACACAAGAACATAGGTTACACGGGACCGGTGTAATCACAACGTTCCACAAACTCAGAGGACCAATGCCAAAAACAATACTAGTGGCATCATCAGTCCAAAATGGCTTTTGCAGTGTTCCCTCCAAACTCCAAGCATCTTCAATTGAAGCTGACACAAATTCAATGTTTGTCTACTATTACGCATCATGCTGAAAAGGGAACCAAGCCCACTGACCGACTGCCTGTGGCTCGCTTCGGCCACTAGCTCAAATTCAATTGGACAGCTGATTGTGGGCCCACAGTCAATGAGCTGGTAAGCCAGTACTTTGGCTTCAATGCAGTGATCTTCGTGGGGACCCCATTCTCGACGCGAACCTGGCTTCAAGGCTGGTCATGTTCCCCCAACAGCGCGAAAGTTCACATTGAAAAACTTGGCAGCCAAAGAACCTCCCAAAGTGTGGATCCCATGGTACTCTTGGGGAGTTTGTTGAGCTGGTCCTTCATCAAAGCACCCAACTGTGTGCCACGCATGTTCATTGGATCCCCGTCAAGACTGTTTGGCTCGAAAGCGCTGATGCGTGTCTTGGGCTTCACGGCGTACCGGAAGTTCACTGAAGTGCCATCCTCCAAAGGCCATGTGCCAACATTTGATGACTCCCCAAAAAATGCTCTATCAGATGGGTACTACAGTAGACGGCTTCAACTTCCAAAAAATCTGCTTCGTAATCTGGCTTTGGGACCGTCCTGGACTTTGGGCAGCATGTCATGCTCCACCAGGTTCACACTGGTAGCGCCGCTTGAGCGACACACATCGCAAACGAGATCAGCGATGCTCACGAGCTTTTTGGACCCTGATTCTACGCGAACGACCAGCTGCAAGTCTGACTCGATGATGTTGGCAATCTTCTTGTTGGCTTCAGTTCGGGCTACTCCTGAAGCGAGGTGTGTGTAAACCTGTCTTTCACTTCCGCTGGACCCAACACCAAGCAAACACACATGACACGTAAAAGAAAACAACAGTGGACAGTGGCCATGATTCATGGATGGTTTGGCCAAAAGACATGCGCCACTCTCCCGCCTGTGGGACTCTCGGTGCAATTCCCTGTTCCAAATCCAAAAAGCTCACCTGCCGACATCTCAACGGCTTGGTTGGACCGGTTGCACAGCCAAACAGAGCCATCAGCTTTTACGATGGCCACTTGGATCTTGTTGTTGCAAATTGCAGCGGCCCTCCCAACCAGCCTCAGTCACAAAAGTCTTTGTTTGACATGTTGTCTTTACTTGCTAACGTTCAACAAAGAACGATGGCTACACAAATATCAAGCCTTTGTTACGAATGTCCAAGAAACTCCTTTGTGGAGTCAAACTCATCAATACCAAGCACCACTGCTGGCAGCAAGCACTGAGTGAAGTCCAAAGGCCGGTCCCCGTCAGCGAAGGTTGGACGAGCTTCTGTGCGGGCTGGCTTTGTGGGGCTCGAAGTGACTGTCGCACTGCTCGGACTGGTGGTAATTTGGCTGGCATGCTTGGCGTTGAACTTTTGCACATGATCCTTCAAAGCCTGCAACTTCCCTCCATCTGCCTCACGGGCAAAGCTGTCAGCCACAGTTTGTGGAATCCTTGGTGGGGATTGGGCATCAAAGAACACATTTAGTAGCAGCCAATTATAAGAAAAATAGATTACCACGCACGTCATAGGTTTATCAGAAATTTTTATAAAAAGTTGAACTCCACTCCAGCTGCCTGTTGTTTGCTTCTAAGGACGGGGTCAAACATAACAAGCTTTGACAAATAAAGAACTGAGCAGCACGAGCCCTCCATTCTGCACAGCAAGCAATGCAAGAGAAGGCAAAGGCTTCGAAAATGGGACCTGGACTCTCGTTTTTGGACCAGCTTCCGCGCAATTGTCCCACCATTCCTGCCCAAAGCTCAAGTTCATATGAAGGTTGCCGTTGTCAAAAGTCACTCGCAATACACGTAGCTATTACATGCTGTTACTGTTTCTGTGTAATCCAAACAAAAAGCTGGGGTTTGTACTTTCAAAGTGCCGGCAATCTCGGAGTGCAGGTTTTTGCATTCAGCCGCTTCGCGTTGGGTGTACAAGGCGCTGAAGAAATATTCGTGGCCAGTGTTCTCCTTCAAGTGCGCCAGCTGCAGTTCCAACACAGCTCGGCCCCACTCATTAAACCTGACAGCATGTGTTTCCAATACTATTTTTTACTACGGAAGCGGAAGAACACGCATAGTAAATATAATAGCGTGCACTAAAACTTTGCTTGCTGATGTTTTCGGTAAATGTGGAAGCATATCTGATGGCACAAGCTACATGCTGCTTGGAGACCGAGAAGGGAGAGTGTCCACGACAAAAACTTGGTAGTTCTTGTTCGGGTCTATGACCCCGTCCAGAAGGGCGGACACAATCTCTTTGCACGCAGCGACCCCTCTCTGCTGGACCTTGCGTTTGTCGCAAGACGTTCTATGGATGCGGAGATTTAAAAGCAATAAACATGCGGCAAATGAACCTCCTAGAAACAAGCAGGACACAGCAACCTAAACTAAATCAACAAATAGCATCCAACCACTGCCAGGCGACCCGCTGCGGCGGAGACAGAGGTTTGTCAGGGTCGTGATTGACCAGCTCGGAGACTCGAGCCCGGGTGATGGGCCCAATTGACCCCAACAATGCGCGAGACGAGGAAAAGGTCCAAACCTTGTGAATGTTTGAGGTCCCAGCCAAGCCTCAGGTTCAGCGTTCAAAAGGGCGACTGCGAAGTGAAATGCTTCCCGAAATTCATGGACTCACATGAACACAACATCATTCCATAAACCTTGACTTAAATCAAAGCGATGAATTTCTAGGAATGCATCCTTCAAAAATATACTACACTGTCAAAGGTGAACGGACTTGATGGCTGAAACTCAAATGCATCAGACATACAATAGGCTGGCTAGGTTGGCTACAGGCAGTCTAATTGGGTTGAGATCATGTTTTAGTCTTAAGCTTAACCTCTTTATCAGCGATAAAGGTAAGTCATATCTGTTGCGTGATTAAGTGCGAAGAAGAAACGCGTGTTTTCGTCGCCATCTCAGCAGCACAGAACAAGCACCTGTGAACTGGCACTACGGTTCCATCCAACAACGAAGAATAGCTGAGGCCAGCTGCAATTCTGCGATCGCTTGCGGCGGTCGCCAGAATGTGATGACTCGGAGAAACTCACCGCAATCTCTGCCACTTCAGGACACCACCTGAATTTTACAGTACTACCAGCTCTAGACTCAGCCGCAACGCAGACATGAAACCCTATCCCTAGCCAACTGCACCTAGAGCAACCATGGCACGCCATCATGAGGTCTTCGACGTGCCGTCGGTGTGAAATCACCACTGATTGGCTTGTGCTTCCATGCAGAACGGGCAAAAAGCAAACACTGATCATGTCTGGTGAAGCTGCGCAAAGAGATTTCGCAAGGCCAATGGCCTCATCAACTAGAGCGGGTCCTCAGGTGAATCCACAACCATTCCGAACTCAGATTCCTGAAGAAGAAGTCAGACTCGTACCTGGAACCCCTACTACTAAGAGACTATCATTGTTCAGCCTAAGTGTCTGCTTGGCCATACGGTGCAATCGACAAAGACAATGCCGAGCCTGAGCGAATGTGGTAGCATGCTTGTCAAATAAATCGTGCGCAAGACACCTGCAACACACACTGCTAGCTCGGTCAAAGAAACTTGTTTGCTCCAGTCTGTTCCTGCATGCTGGCAATGGTGTCAGGTAGACCACTGTCCAAAGAGTCCAGCTGCACATAGCGTTGACGGACCTTCATCAGACCTTCAACCTTCTGGCAACCCTTTTCGTAGCGCTCAGACAAATACTTTACATCAAGGTTGCCCTTGGTTGAACATGGATTGCGGGTGGAAACTCAAACTAGCTCAGTTGCTGAAAGACAAAGAACACATAAAGCATTAACGCCACTATTAACGACATGTTTTGCCATGTAACCGCACGATTTGCAACCTCCTGTTTTTCCATGTAGTAGGCATCCAAGTTCGCAAGGTCGGTGTGAACTTTATCCTGCATGTGGCGGAAATTAGCAGTCGCCAGATCTTCGGCCAGCCTCAGATCAGATGTGATACTGGAAACTTTTGGCAACAAGGCAGGCTCGCATCTGACTGTGAAACTTAGCCTTAGGCTTTTCAGAAGCAGCAACTTTGTCGTCTTCCACCTACCACAAGGGACCCTCGAGATCCACAGAAATATTAGTGTTGACTGGCACTGGCCTGCTTGGCAAACTTTTGCAAAGATGCGCGAAAAACGGACACTGCAGCAACATCCAATGGTGGAACGGTGTTCTCCATGAGGCTATTGAGTTCGCGATCAAGGTGTTTCAAGTTGAACCTTGGTTGCTGGGTTATCACACATGCTGGTACTGGCCACACACCAAATCACAGCTGTGACCGCACACAATGCAAGGAGCGATCTCCGAATCTCTGGAAGCTCTGACTCAAAGTATGCAACGGGCACCTTTGCTTGAAAGGCCTTCACAAGAGCGACATAGATGCAGCAGCATCTCTGCAGCCCGTCCTCACACACGGAAACACATCATGGCCTCATGCAGTGGTTGTTCTTGCTGGTCGCAATACACTATGCAACATAACAGAATCATTGTGTCTAATCCAGGAGTGAAATAAGCAATGGCTAGGCTCAACATCTTTTGATTGGTATGGCCGCCGCATCTTCGGGTTCAGAGCTGCGTAATCGCTTTCCAACCTGCTCACCAGAAGCGTCAGGACTTCCTCTGTGTTACCAAGGTGGTCTTCCCAGACCTTGATCTGAGGTAGTACAGTGTTGTGCCCCAGATTGAACGAGCCATTTGCCACAGATTCGTGCGGCAAAAACTTTACCATCGAGAATGTCCTGGAACCGAAGTTGGCCAGGAAGCTCTTGCAACCACACCACCCTGGTAAAACTCAACAGAAGTAAGTAACAATCTGTAGTCTGTCCTGACTAGTCTGTGAAGTTCGCAAACTACGGGCTCGGGCACGCTGTTCATCAAATGCAAAGCTGCCCTTGATTCCAAAGCTCCAAGTCGGTATGCTTCAGCGAAAGATGTGGCGCTCTCCCACGCCTGGATTCTAGACAAGTCTGGAAACATTCCACACTTGACAGAGCATGGAGATTAAGAAGCACAACAGAAGCAACATACTACCACATCAGCACCAATGAGTAACCATCTTGCACCAATCATAAACACCAACATCCATAATCATTGTTTTCATCAGTGTGTTCATCGTCCATCATGGTACATCATCGGCAACACAACATAATCTTGATTTTATTTCCAAAACTACACGATAGGGTCATAGATATGCAATGTCCAATGAATTCTTGTGAAGGTTCAAACGCTATCGATAGCAGGAGCGACAACTGAAGCAGTGTGCCTCAAGTGACCCGTGGACCATTCGGTTAAACCTCTTCTCCATCTGGAGTTGATGAAGAAGATTAAACTCATTTGGTTTCCTTCTTGTGCTTGTGGATCCAAGAGTAATTCCTCGAATGATTTCACTGGAGTGATAATCTCATGCTCATGGATTCCAAGACTGGTGCACATAAGATCACATAAGGCTAGAAAGTTTAAAAGCCTTGATGTGACTGTCCAAACATGTTCTATCAATGCCATTGCAACGCTCAAGTTTAACCACATTCCAGGCGCGCCGGTTTTGCCGGACCAAATAGTCTGGACTGGCCACGATGATATTTGTAGCGTGGATGGTCCCGAAACTCCTCAGCGTTTGCGCATAATTTGTTGAGTCTGATGTGTCAAGAGCATGTATAGCAAAACGAATCCTGCGTCAAGGCCTCAGAAGCTGGCTTGACAACTGCAGCAGTTGTGATCAAACTAGACTATCTGCCGTCAAGTGGCTTCCGCAGCTCATCAGACCATGTCTCAGGTTGGGCAGCCATGGTTAAAAAAATACTTAGCATATCTCAGCACACCAATCATGTGTCAAAGCCAAGTGATCGAATCAACTGCTGAGAATGGTGCGGTGAAAGCTTCAGGCATGGTGTAGCCGTGTAGCATGCAAGCAATTGCAGCCATACTTCGAGACCACCCCTTCACATGGAAAAGCGACATCGGTGCCAACAAACCATCTTCATCCGGGCAAAAGTCTTTCACCCGAAACTCGGTGATTGGCGAAGCTAGCATCTCTGTTGGAACGGCTGCAATCACCAACTTCTCAACACCTCCTCGGTCAGGGTCGGTTTCAAACCTCAGGGCGCACTCTGTAATGTTTGTGTCACTTCAAACTCAACTTCAATGAAAGCGACGTCTGAGGCTTTAAGCTAGGAGACGTTTGAGACAAAATCAATTGCCCTAGCATCTGTAATGTGTCCTGAGCAGCAGTGAAAATCCTTTCTATCTGTCAGGTGATATGCGGCACTGTCAGCCCTGAAGCTCTCAACAAAGTAAGCTGAGGAATCCACGGGTTCCACGTAGCCACGTAACCCCAAATCGGGTCGTGCACTCAACATATATGGTCGCAAATACTTCGCACCCTCCGTGTTCAATGAACCCAACTCCGCATACTCCCTTGGCAAAAGTGGCATGCGACAGAAAGCTTTCTTTCCACCAGACCTACCTTTGCCACAAACCTCGGCCTAAGGATCTGGCACTGATGGGTCTGGCGGAAAGCTTTGGCTGACCCAGGTCCAGAACTTCAGCAGTTGATCCTGCCGCTGCAGCATTACTGAAAGGCTTTCCATCATCATAGCAGCTACAAATTCTGCCAGCAACATAGTTTATAAAGAACATGATAATTAAACACAGGGCCGGCCTCTGTGCCCAGAGTCTTCTCCAGGTAAACATCAAAGCTCCCATGATCTTTGTGGATTCCAGCCCTCACAATACACGATGATAACCGAGAGGAAAGAACATACGACACCCGTAAACGCACACACACGCACAATGAATATGTAATTGGACGCTTGGCGGACTTCGTGCGGCCAAAAAACAGCCAATTGTCAAACAATCGAACTTGGTCTTGAAGCAAGGCAGCAACCGGTACCTTCAAATCCGGTGCATCTGCAATCGCCTTGGCTGCCTTCGATTTCGGACCCGGTCCGTTGGCAAGTGCCCTGCGTTTTGACATGGGCAAACAAATCACTACGTACGACGGCTTGGCTTGGCAAATGCCACGAAGATCTAGTGTGTGATTCACATTGAGACAAATCAAACTGACTGTTGACAGTGACCGGCAAAGACATGCAAAGACCATCGACGGGTTTCGGGAGCAGCCAATCATGTTACTCGGCCAAGCCTGATGCCTACCAGTGACAAAGGCAAGCACAACTTCCCCCTCAGTCAGTGAGACTATGGATGCTTTGCGCAGAGTGCAGTCCTGATTCCAAAGCAAAACAAGATGGCAGATTCACATAGCACCACAATTTGTATAATACCATGGAATACCTACAACTAATGGTTGTTGCAAAAAGGCTTTTGTCGGCCGTCGATCGTGCAGATTAAAGATAAAGACTGTTGCTCAACCGATGATAGGAAAATATTTGTGCATAATCTGATGCGGATCCTGCACAAAAGACAACAACATTAAATCCAATAATTGGGACTTCAATAGGTTTAGGGTTTAGGAGCGGTGGTGCAATCAAATTTGTGCAGAATCCACGGTGGGATTCTGCACAAATGGTTTTTGTTGTTTCGTTGTCAAACTCAAAATTTTAAAAAATGTGTTGTAAATGTCCATGCCGCACCCTGTATGCCATAACGTTTAGGGTTTAGGGTTGCGCAAGCCGAGCTGAGGTTTAGGATGACAGCGACTATGGATAGATTTGTTTGATGCTGGTAAAGAAAATTGTGCAGAATCTCAGGTCGGCTTCTGCACAATCGCTTGTTCCCCAAACCTCAGCAGGCCCCTTGCTATTCCACAACTACATGTTCCTCTGCACAAATCATCATCGTTCAAGTGCATGATTCTGCACAACTACGCCGGCCGCTTGGGCGTGAACCTTTGTGCAGAAACCCAGCCCAGATCCATCACAAAACCAATGAACCCATGATTTGATTCACAGTTCTCAAAATGAAGAACCAAAAAACATTTGGATTTCAAAGCTGGGCCTGCCGATTGTGTAGCAACCGGGTTGGGTTTATGCACAATCTCGGGCTACTAATCAAAGCAATTGTTTGTGCAGAATGCATGGCCTTTGGCGCGACCCCTTTGTGCATTCACAACCCCTGAACCCAAACACAAGACTCAAAGCAACAACAGGATCACGGTGTGACCTTTGAGATGGCATGTTCTATTCAATGTACAACTTTTCTTTGAGTCCTCCTTGCCTACACTGCGTCTGCTAAGACAGAGTCAAATGCATCATGGACTATTTGAAACGCGTCCGTCCAAGATAGGCCACGTGCCCACAGCTGCGCCGCTGCTTGGTACTCATGATGTTTGCGCCTTCTGACTTTGTACTTCTCAAGAAAAGGTCGGTTCCACTGCTCGGCTTGAATATCCAAAGCGTTGGGAGCCTCAACTTGCAATTGTGAGTGACAAATCTCTCGCTACAAACATAAAACTAGTATTATTTGGGCCTGACCTCAACAGCACACAAGATCTTGGTCAAGCCACTGGGTCCAAATTTTGGCCAAGCGGTTGCTGACCAAACGCCGCCCCTCCATGTCCAACAGCTGGGCCAACATTGGGGAGAAACCTTCAGCAGAAGATCAAACTGGAGCTGAACAATGGTTGAAACTCCTTGATGATTTACATAGCAACTGCTTCGAAAAGAAATGGAGAGGACCCGAAGTTACAACCCGATCTGGATTTGGACTCTTTATTGTTGAAAAAACAAAGTGTTGGCTTTTAAGTGCCGCTTGAAAGAAATCAATCGTTCTTGGTCCTAATAGGCAAACAAATCGGGTGTTGTGGAGGGTGGCATTCCTTGCAAGGAAACTACTGTAATTGTTTTTTTGCTATGCAATGAACGCCAAAGCAACCGGCCGATCGTCAGCACTGGCGCAAGCTGCGAAGTCCCCTTCGCCAAGCCTTCCAAGAAGTCTGCTGCTTTGTGGAGTTCATAAGGTTCCTCTCCTTGGCTCAGCTGAGAGAATCATATATGCACACAAAGCGCCAACCTGCCCATTGAAACACATCTCAAACACGGAAGCTTCCAATTAAAGGCAATACAACCGACGAACAGATTTGCTCTGGCTTGTTTGCAAAGAAGAATCGCAATCGCTCGGCGTACTTGAGATAGTGGTCAGCAGTTTTCGGTTCCACTTCGCGGCACTCAGCCACAACTCAGGGAAAAAAGGTGGCAAGTCTTATTGAATATGAATGTGAAGGTGAGTAGAGGTGAACCGCTTCTCAAACAGTGACTGTGAAAGTAGCCAAAGAAACACTCACACTCTCCACCTTCGGGCGGGCCAGGAACTCTGCGGAAACTGCAGCAGGGAGGTATAGGAAGCAAGTTTGTTTGAACTCCAGGTCAGATAGGTACTGCTTGGTCCTGTCACAAGCGCGGCGTGAAACAACTGAGTATCTACTGCATCCCTTAAGAACACCCTAAAATCCAGCAGCCGTTTGGTTTCTATGTCGTCTGAACACCAAACAGGATTACATGTCAATAGTTTTCTCTCTTGCTCTCATTGCACTTGTTTTATGTTGATCCACTAAGGGTGGTACCGAACTGCTGCACACAGGATCAAAGTAAGCATCCCTTGGGGTAGCTTTTGGAATGACTGTTGTATGGGAACCTGATCGCGGGGTAGTTGTGTGTCTCAAAACCAAACATGTTCAGACTTTGCTTGTTGCACCATGTTAACCCGAAACGAATGGCTTTCTTTTCTAAACTAGCTTCCGGTTGCGCACAGTGCTTTGAAGGTTTGAATGGTGGTCGTTAGGCTGGCCGTGCTTGTCGTTGAACGTTTTGCGTTGGTGCTGTTGACTCTGCACCGGCAATGCAAAATGGCCCCATCAACAGCCAGTTCAACAGCCATGGTTTTGGTTTTTAACTATGTTTCTTTTTGCCGGTCCTCTGAAATTGTGGTAAACGAACCAGTGTTGTTTTTGTCATTGTTGTGGTGACTGCAATCTGCGGTGGTGGTGGTGTGGGGGGGTGGTGGTGGTGGTTGCAACAGTGTTGCTACATTGGTGCTGGCCCAGGCTCTCGAAAGAACAAGTGTTGCTCGTTGAGTTTGAGTCATTGGAGGACTTACTTCCGGTTTCAACTGCTATTCTTGCGGTCATCAACAACTCAAGAACCGCAACAACGGCAATAGAACAGGCATCCTCAAGATCACATCGGAGTCATGGAGTGCAGTGATACCCCGGCGGCGCCAAAAATCTCGCTTGATAAAACGTTCGTCAACGGTCCCTGACGGCGCAGGATGGCACAGAATAGAATTAAACAGTCACGCGCGTGTCATCCACCTAATTTTAGTTGCATTCAATTGATGACAATCAGGCCAGGCCAGTGAAGCTACGCTTAAATACAACAGCTGTAATCAGAAGGCCTTTGATGTCGGCGTAGCGCTCAAAGGAAAAGCAATGCGGCGCACCAGGGCCACCCATTCCATTGAGGAAATTCCCGTGACAGCTAGCCTTGAGGTGACTCGTCCTGAGGTTCCAAGACAGGTTCAGTTCATGTTTTTTGGTTTCTATATACCACAAACATCCACAAACTATATATATATAAAATGTTGAGAGCAAAGAACACTCCCTCGACAGAACAAGTAAAGGCTCCAGTCTCTCACCTGATCAACCTGGACAACTTCCCGCAGTCGTTCCAAAGGCCGAACTGAAGGGTTCGAAAGGTAGCGGCGAAGTGCCTGCTGGAACTCCATCGGCTCGTGAAGCTCACATTGTGTCTGAAGGAACGTCGACAGGAGTGAAAAGTATTGGTCAATGTCTTCATGAGAGTGTCCTGACATGCAATACTGCAGCCGGGCTGACCTTAGTAGGCCCTTGCCTACTAAGGTCGCCAAAAGCCTGGCTGTTGTATTGTTCTTGCTCTCCTTCGAGCAGTTGTCTGCCTGCAGCGTCAAGGAATGTGCCCGGAGGTCTGTTCCTGCCGCTGTGAGCCTATCAAGCAGGAAGGTGATGAGATCGCAGGTCCAGTTTGCACCCTTGATCACGTTCGGGTGTCCAAAAGCTGTACACACACAGTGGCCGTGGGCGATGAGTGCAGTGCAGTCCAGCGATGGCCGGTTGAGGCCATTGAAGGCCTTTGATGCCAGTATTCCCGATCGAGGTACAGCCCATTTTCCACGGTCCATGCCGTCAATTATTATACAAAGTGTGGGCAGTCCGTGGATGTCATGACCCACTCTGCTCATTGAGCGATGGTGCCAATAGCACTGCCTGTCAGCAAACTGACGTTCCATGTGCCTTCCCCACAGCCGGGATTGCATAGCCAATGCTTCTTGATGGTTGGAGAGTTTCCGCATGATGGCTTTATGTTTCATGCATGTAGCGCATTTCGAGTGTTGGGAGGTGGGTCGGATGCGCAATCTGTTGGAGAACGACTCCTCCCACACCTAAAACTTAACTGATTCACAATGGACCAGAAATAACAAAAACC